AAAACACTAGCTAAGAATATCAAAATCTAGTTAGAAGATAAATTTAACAAAACACTAGCTAAAAGCCACAGGTAGCAAAAGCCTAGCTGGAAATATGAAGAGCCAGGTAAAAGACAAATGTAATAAAACTCTAGCTGAAAATATCAAAAGCTAGGTAAAAGATACATTTAACAAAAGACTGGCTAAAGTTAAAATTTACAAAAACTAAGAAAGTTACAAGAACTAAAGGTTAGCTCGTCTCCTAAATGAGGCTGAAGGTTTAGTTTGATGTCACAGAGAGATAAAAACAAGAAGTGAACGCTGACTCAGCATCAACACAATAATGGATTTATGCTTTCTGTTGCTCTTCAAGAGGAATCCATCTTTACTTCCTGTTTCTTCTCCGTCCGTCAGACGTCGCAGGAGTTCATCGGGTCCTTGATGTCCCGACTAGGAGGGAAGAACCCGGAGGAGACGGGTGGGTTTCAGGAGGCCCCTCTGGCCTACGATGCGGTCTGGGCTCTGGCCCTCGCCCTGAATAAGACCGTGGCCCCCCTGAAGGCCCGGGGCCGACGGCTGGAGGACTTCAACTACAACAATCACGACATCACCTCGGAGATTTACAGAGCGCTCAACACCAGCCTGTTTGAAGGGGTTTCAGTAAGTCTCTGCACTATTTATTTATTTATTTATTTATTTATTTATTTATTTAATTTATTAAGTCTTTAAACTCTGCAGATGCATGTGTCTCACACACTGACTCAGCCTCTGCAGACAGGAGTTTTACTTTTTTTCTCACAGATTTTATTGCAGATTTGACTCTTGTTATGAGTTTTTCTTCAGATGTGGTTATAGATTAAGCTCATTTCAGCCTCTCAGTTTTTCACCTCCTGAGTGAAACAATAACAGTTAGTGATTTATTAGTGAGTTGAATTATTTAAAAAAAACAGGCATAAGCTAAAACTGAACTAAAAGGTGAAGTTGTTCTTGTCTAAGTTTGCAGGAAGAGTTTGTGAAAACCTCTAATTTTTGGAATAAGAGAAATTAGTTGAATATTCCAGTCTCTTGTGAGTTTGCATCTATGCATCCAGAGAACTACATGGTTTTGTTTCACAAGGCTGATTTTTTGCAAAATCACGACCTATTTTCTGTCAGCTGCTTGCAGAACCATTTCTGAGGCTGTGCACATCGTATTGTATCCACCTCGGCTCACTTTGTACCAACCTTAACAGCTGTATAAACACAAACAGCCAAAATGTATGGAGGACCGAAACTGTCATAATTAGAAATAAAAGCAGAAATATATAAATGCTCCAATAAATGAATAAATCCACTTAAAATGCACCAGTTAATTAAAAAAGAGAACTTTACCTCGTGTTTTATAATTTAATTCATGCTTATTTTTCCTGCTTAATTCCAACAAAATAAATAATTTATTTACATTGTACTGTTTTTTAATAAATGTTTTTGTTTTTTCTTTTACTTGTACATTCGTGTCTCTTAAATGATTATATTTAATTATTTTGTTGTAATTGTTCCCACAAGTCTTTTTATTTTTATTTATGTGTTGCTTTTACATCTCATTACAAAGACTCAGATAAGTGATTTCCTTCTTGTCTTTGTTTTAAACTAAACTTTAAACTTTAATGTAAACTGAGGCAGCAGTAGCACAGTAGATCTGCACATGGATCCTGCTCCTTCCTGTATGTTGACCAATAGAAGAGGAGCTGACCCAAGAAGCTCCACCCACCCTATTTACATAATGAAGCAGAAATGCATAAGGTAAAGTAAAAACAGGAGACAGAGAAATGTAAAAGCAACACACTGAAATAAAAA